GGGGCATGGATGAGGTCCCCATAGAACTGACGTTTAGGATACTTCTTAACAAATTTCCAACAGTCTTTAGCCATGGTGGTCCAATAGTAACCTTGACGTCTAATTTTCTGAGCTAGAGCAATTGCTCCAGTGTGTCCTCCCTTATTGTGCAGTTCTGTTAAAACTTGGTCAATTCTGGCTGGTCGATACACCTAGGATGATGCCATCAAAGGATTTTCTAAAAAGATAGTAATCTCTTTTCAAAAAGCCCATGGAAAACCTTCAAAGGGCTTTTTTATCCTTTTTAGTGGCTCCATCGGGGTATGATCCTTTTTTTTAGCAGGAATAACACATCATGGAACGACTGCTTTGCTTTGACAGGCATCTGAAGCCACAACGGCCACTTCCCCATTGCTCTCACTATTTTGTTATATTTCCTTTTTCGATTTTTGGTGGGGATGGATCGCTTTTGTACTTGATGTAAAAAGGTTGCATGGTGACTTCTAAGGAAATGTCGACCATTGAAGCAAGGGTTGCTAGGGTATCGGCAAACCGATTATTTTCCCTAGTTACATGTTGGAAGGATATTTGTTTAAAATATTTGATCATGTTATCCACCTTCTCTTGATATGGTTTAAGCTTTTCATGTTTGACCTTCCAATTCCCTTGAACTTCGTTTATGACAAAGAGGGAGTCGCTAATGACTCGTATCTACGGCATTCATAGTTTCAGAGAGTTTTCGAGCCCAGCTATCATGGCCTCATATTCAACAATGTTGTTAGTGCATGGGAAATTCAATCTGACGGTTGTTAGCATCATAATCTTTTCGAGTGAGCTTAGTATGACACCTATACTTGCCCCATATTCATTCTATACACCGTCAGAGTATAACTCCCACGTTGGTCCTCAATTGTGAAGAAATTATCATCAAGGAGATCTGTATCAATGGGAGTATTATCTGGCATAGCGTGTTCAGCTAAGTGGTCAGTTATGGCTTATCCTTTGACTGACTTTTGAATAACATATTCGATTTCGAACTCGCTTAATAGCATTCCCCACTTTGCTAATCATATGCTAAGGACAAGTCTTTCCAATATATACTTAAGTGGGTTTCTTTTTTAGATGAGCCTGACTGTAGGAGACAAGGCGTAATGTCTACAAGTGTCAGATTATACCTCAATTCATAATCGCCATAGTTTTACTAATGTAATACATGGTTTGTTCTTTGCCTTGGTCATCATATTGTCCCAACATTGCCCCTATAGTTTTGTCTTTTACAGCAATGTACAGAAAGAAGGGTTTGTCGGGGCTAGGAGGACTAAGGATGGGAGGTTTGGTAAGGTATTCATTGATTTGATCAAATGCATTTTTTGACATTCGTTGTCCCATACAACGGGGCATCTTTTTTAAGGAGCCTATTGAAGTGTACACACATGTGTACCAGTTGTGAGATAAAACGCCTTACGGCCTGTATGTGACTTTGAAGCCCACAAATTTCTCTGATATTCCGAGGAGGGGGCATCTCAGCGATAGCTCATATTTTTAACGGGTTTACCTCAATGCCTCTTTGGCTTACTATAAAGCCTAGTAATTTGTCAGATTCAACTCCGAATGCAGATTTCTGTAGATTTGAGTTTGAGTTGACGTTTTCAGAGTCTTTCAAAAAATTATTCTGAGGTTAGTGAGATGGTTGGACCTGGCTTTTGACTTGACCAAAATGACATCAAAGTAATCTTCCATGATAGTGTGCATTACGTCGTGGAAGATATTAGTCATTGCCCACTGATAGGTTGCCCCTGCGTTTTTTAAGCCGAAGGGCATGAAACGGTAACAGCAGGTTCCACATTGTGTTATGAAAGATGTCTTGGTTTGATCTTCTTCCGCCATGAGGATCTGGTTGTATCCCGAGAAGTCATCCATGAATGGCAGCATCTCATGGGCCCGCAATATTATCAATTAAGGCATCTTTATTTGGTAGAGGGAATTTGTTTCTAGAGCATGCCTTGTTTAGTCTCTGTGGTCGACACACATTCGGATCCTCGTGCCTTTTTTAGGTATGACCACTACGTTGGCCAACTAATCAGAGTAATTGACGGGGGTGATGAATTTTTCATTGAGTAGTTTATCGATTTCTTCTTTTATTTTAAGCTCAAGGTGAGTCTTCTGACATTAGAGCTTTTGCTTACTGGCTTCGCCCCTTCCTGGAATACTAGGTGATTTTGCATCAAGTTAAGATCTAATCCTGGCAAATCATCGTATAATCAGGTAAAGACATCACGATATTCCACAAAGAAGGAAATCAAGTTCTCCCATTCCTCGAGTGATAGGGAGGTTCCAATCTTGATTAACCTTGGATCCTTCTCGGTTCTCAAGTTGACGTCGATCGTCTCTTCAACAATAACCGTTGGGATACCATCGAATCGCCTCCTGAACTGATCAACATGGGAAGTGAGTTCTTCAGGTTGGGGGATTTCTTCAAACTCTTGGTCATCTTGTTTTTCATCTGGGTTATCTAATTCATCTTAAATGTTTTGCACCGTTAATGGGCTATCACGTATATTTGTCGGTTTTGAAACTTCTTCTTTTTTATCATGTTTATCATATTCTGAATTTTCACCGGCTTTTGTGTTGTTGCAAGAGGTATCTCTTATGGGACTCACAAGAGGTATGTTAGGGACCGGACGCGCAAGGTAGTTTGGTGGCCACCCCGCGCCTATCTGCCAATTGATCATTAACTCAAATAGAAAGTTGTCTGTAACTAACAAAGGCTATTAATTTCTCATCATCATCATCATCCAAACCTTATTCCAATTATTTAGGGTCGTCTATATAAATTATGTTATTTCATTCTTCTATATCAAAGGCCATACCCTCAATAAGACCAAAAGTAATCATATCTTTTTTTACTACTTGTATCTATGTTCTTTTAGGCCTTCACCTTACCCTTATATATCCTTCCATTTGAATCAAATCGTGCCCTTATATAGAGCTACGTTGCACATGGCTAGCCCACTTAAGTCTATTTTTCCTCGTCTTGTCACCTATTGAAGCCATATGTAAATTACCTTCAATGTATTCATTTTAAATTCTATCCTTCAAAGACTATTGATTTTTATTAAATTGCAATTAAAAACAAACATCACCAAGCAACATTTATCACGAAATTTTCTATTCGTACTAGGTGACCAAAAGATGGTGTGCCGCCCACCTCAAAACTAGTACTCTAGGTTGTTGAAGAAACCCAAAAAGGCTCCAAATCACTTTCCTCCATTAAAGAAGCATCCAAAAACAGCAACAATAGCTCCATAACGCCCCAACTGTAGTAAACGCTCCAACCATATCGCTACTCCATAATTACATTTAAGCCCATCTATTTGATTTGAGTAGAGGACCTACTAAGGGTTTTGGACCCAAAAAACCTCCAAATGACTTTTCTCCCATTCAGAAACATTCCCATCAACAACAGCAGCCATAACAACTCATAGACACTCTAACCATATTGCCACTCCTCAGTAACATCTAAGTCATCCATTTGAATAGATGGTGAATAAAGGGGTCAGATCTTTTTCAAGAGTAGCTTTGATTTGGAATTAATTTGATGCTTTGTCCCTGATCCGCCTTGGAAACCATCTTTTTGAGGGAATTCGGTTTCCAAACACCATCCGCCAAGCAGATTTTGACGTATTTTCAGTACGAATGGTTTACATCAACCATCATGTGTCATGATTTATATTACTTGCAGCGTACAAAACAATCCGCTACAAGTATCAGGGATCAAGTTCTGATTCAACAAAGGACAAACATTTTCCCGGAACGGCATCATGCATCATGATATATTTCCGTTTCAAAATAGATTCTTAACAAAAAAAAAGTTTATATAGAGTCAAGGCTCTAAACAATCAAATTAGAGCCCACCTCCAAGAATTCACTAAAAGTGACCCAATATCCTCAAATTGATCATCTCGACATCAAGATATATGGAGATGAGAAAATATATTTTTAAAACTATCACAAAGATATCTAGCATTGAAACCACATTTCTTGACACTATTTCAAAATGTGCTTAGAGCCCCAGCTCTATACAAACCGCACCCTTTTAACTAACCGTGTTCTCTGCTTTATATGCAAGTATAAAGTTCGTGTTGTGTGCTCAAAGGGGCTTGGTTAGCAAACCCTTGAACCCCTCAAGTGGAAATGGGATGCAAATAATTTCGTCAACGTGGAACTTTGGGACTGCCATTTGGAAAACACACGTAATTTTGTAAATTTCTTTAATATGTTCTAAGGTTTTGAAAGATTTTCATGATTCCAACCACTTTGATGTTTATTTGAACTGGACAAGTTATTTTTTGGTTCCAGTTCAATTTTGTTAACATATTTCAGAATTCAGATAATGGAAATCATGGAGGCAACGGGCTATTTCCATTTTAAAAGTACCGACTGGGATATTCAAAAAAAATGGCATTAACGCAAGTACTGGAACATGACTCAACAACCACACATATTGCAAATTAGGGAAAATGCTAAAAAATTTGAAGACAAGAACAAATCAGCAAAAACCATGGGAGCATTGAATGGTAAATCGACCCTACCATTGAACAAGACCAATATTTTATAGAACAGTATTAAATAAGACCGCTTATTTTTGGCAAAAGGAGGTACCTAATTACCATTGACCATTAGATATGAAATCAAGCGCAGTGGGATTGATTGGCACAAAATCAAAATAAAATTTTTCAAACTGTGACACACCTTGCTGTCAGATTTCACATCTGTTGGTTAAGTATGTTTGTGACCTTGTAATTATAGTCTAAAATCCCATTTTCTCAAAAAAAAAAAAAAGTCTAATCCCATATTTTACATCAATGGCCATGCTATGCAACTCACCCTACCATGGGTGACATTACCAATATATACCATCCAGGAACGAGCCTGTGATTATCAACAGCATAAAACATGTACTTCACCAATTATTTAGAGGCTCTCTGAGGGAAATCAAAATTTTCAACACAACCAAAGCCTAAACGAGAAGAAAGCACAGATAGCCATAATAACCAAGTAAACATGTACAGGTCGGGCGAAACATTCTCAAAAGACTAGCTAAATGAGAACTTTTAATATATTTACCCATTAGGAAATCCCTAAGGAATCCTCTCCATCTAAACATGCTTAACTTAAGCAGCATAAACTGAAACCCAACACAGTTATCTCTGCCAACAATTCCAACCATCTTAATCTTAATATTCATCAGTCCAAAGCCTCGAAGTTCCAACCGACTCTAGGTGCCTAACACAAAAATTCAGTGTCCTATAGGTTAACAAGTGATAGACTCCTTAAGGAAAATATAAATTGAACGAGGGAGAGAGAGGACAAGGGATGGGGGGGCAGGTGTAGAAGGTTGTTAACTTACAATATATTTATGTATGTACTGATGTACCGATTAAGTTACGTGCTGCAGCTCAGTGCATCGATGGACGGGGAGCACGTGGTCTCACTGGTGTCTTTGATGGGCTTACCCTAAACAAATAACAAACTGCACCTCATCAGAACTCGACGCCCATACTGATAATGAGCTTCATTTTTCAAGCAAAAACATATGCAGAAGTACTGCTAGATTTGCGAAGATCTCACTTGATATCACAAGGATAAATAATATATGTTCAAATGGATGAAGCATTTAGGAGAGCGCACACGCATGCACTCACCCACAGGCACACACACATCCACACACACAAGCACGAAAGCACAGACACAAAATATAGCCTAATGCACAGGGCCATGGAAATCACAATCATATACTCACCTTATGGGCAAAGCTCCCAAGACAGCACCACTACAGTTCAAAGCAGCAATTGCACTTTCTGCCTGAAAGAATAAAAATTTCGCATGGCTGAATATTGAAATGATGACTGATAATAAGTGCCAGGTAATAACAAATACCAATGATTCGTTGATACCATTGGATGTCGGATAATGAATTAATCCAATAAAAGAACAACAATGTCGGCAAATGCAAGCCTATTGGCCTTCTCACATTCTTTTTATGTACAACCCAATGCCTACAATCTGTTAGTAATCATCAGTCTTAAAATACGTCTTTCTATGACCACATATATCCATTAGGAAACCCAACTATAAATGAACACTTGAGAGACCAGCTTTAAATAGTCAATATGAGCACAAAATTTGAGTGCAAAGATGCATATGACTACTATATTCTTTGCAATGTTCGGCTACAATGTCACTTTTGTACGAGGCTTTCCATGATAAAATTTTATGCATTCTTACTCTTTGATTGCCAATTCCAACACAAACATATTACTATTGCTGCCATTTGTTAGAATGTAAGGCAGCACAATGATATTCATACTAGGCCTTCCAATGTCGGATACAGATTCACGCTTCTCTCTCCAAATTATATGCTGATTATAATTCCTTTCGAAATTAATACCAATACAAAAACCAATAACATCAACTCTACAGTGGATTATTGAAAAGAACCTATCCCTAGATCATTACAAAATGGGGATTCCTTCTTTTTGTTGATAACTAACTCCTTGTATTAAATGGCAAAAATGAGGGGTGTGTGTGTCATGCATAAAATTGGTACTAGAAATGGCTATGTGCCTATACAAAAACTGGTACCTAGGGATGATGGTCGATTCACCCCTTCCCTTTTTCTTTTTCTTTTTTTTTCTTTTTTAGGTAGTTTAGCCGTAGAAATCGAACTTGAGATGTATCACAGCTAAATGCCAGCAGCTAACCACACAAGCCCAAGTGTAATTAAGTGATCACTAGCTATCGATCACTAGTTCACCCTTTCCCTAGCTAGGCAATCAACTATTGATCACTTAGCTTCTTGCCAGGTGTAATAAATGAGACCAAGAGATTCTCGCAGCGAGGGGGATTTGTTGGCCCAGGCTATGACATTTTGAGAGTCACCCTCAATGTTGATTGATGGGCCCAATTTCGATTCCAAAATGATGATTTATCTGTATTCTGAAATCCCACCCCGTATTGACTGCCACTCATATACTCAACATAGCCAGTGGTAATCGATTTCAATCTATATCTATTCTATTAAAAGCCAAGATAGAATTCAGCACTTGAATTTATTTTTCACTCACCACCTAAATTTACTGGTCATGACTCACCAGGAACACACAGAAGCACATCACAAGTTATTCTCAATGTTCTTTTCCTGAATTCTTTTTTGGTTCATATGGAAGAGTATCGGATCTTTTATTGACTCCCATAAGAAGCAGACCATGAGATGATTGCCTTTTTTAATACAGCACCTTTAAATTGAACTGCGCAGATCTTCATAGAACTAGACTGCCATTGTTTTTTCTCAATCTTTTGCCCAGTTTCCAAGATCAAGAGCTACTTTGGATCAATTGTTAATAAGAAACATTATTATCAGCTTTAAGTCAGTATTCAATCAAATTTAAGGAAATTTTTAGGCCCCATTGTTGACTCTTTTGTGATCCTTTTATCAGACAAATAGTTGCGGGAACTTTGGGGGTAAAGCCACAATCCCACCTTGGGAACTCGATCCCGCGGATCCTATAAGGATCTTAGAGGGAGTTGGCTTTAGAGAAATAGAGATCTCACTCCGTATAAAATGGGATCTCGATCTACATGCTTGTAGGATCCTTCAGAGGAGATGAGCTTTACTATTAACTGAATTATTGGCCCGCTCGTGGATATTATGGATTTATTTCTTTAGAATATGTTGACTTATGGAATATGTTAACTTATGGTGCATATCACCGTGGTACACTAGAAATATGGTATTAAGAAACTAGAGCTTAATATCATAGTAAGCCAATTTATGATATTATTAAATTGATTTATTGTAGTAAATTGGAGTACTATGACTATGGCATTCATAGGAAAATAAGGTGTACGATAGCGGATTGAGCGGTATTGCTTTGATCCTAATTTTATCATATAATATTAATTGATCTTGTTTTATGCATAGTGGAGCTTAAATCCCTTGAAGTCAAGACCTCAATCCCAGTGTCATGGAATCTCGCTCCCCAATATCCCAGGATTTAGCTACTTAATTTGTTGAATGTAGGGACACCAATCCTAACCCCAGGGAGCTTCCACCCTATGGCGTTGTGGCGTTTCCCGAGCCAATCCCGCTTCCAAACCCACTGCCACCTCAAACAACTATGATCAGACCCATGTACCGAAGATAATTGTAGCAATATTTGGCACCATTAGATGTCAAGTAGATTGGATAGCTACTTCTTCCACATTTCTCAAAGTTCTTTTCTGGTGCATTTTGATGGCTGCTCAATTTGTGTCTGCCAAGAATACCATATTCCCACCAATTAAAAGATACACAAACTCCAAACCATATGGGGGCTTCTTTTACATTAGTCAATGCCCAAAACTGTAGAAGTGTTACTTATTGTCAGTGGAATCGTACTGCGACTTATAAAACTGGATCCTTTAGTTGAAACCAATCAATGCTAAATGTTTGACGAAGAGATGATTGCCTTTTTTAATACATAGCCTTTTTTAATACATAGATACCTAAGGACCTAATTTCTGTTGGCAATGTGCAATCGATCAAACTTCTTTCATCAAATCACCATGGCAGACAGATCTACGAGACATCATGTAAAAAAGGTAATCATGTGCTCAGACTGTCCCACATGGAACGCTAAAGGGAAATTCAGTGAAAGTAAGGAAAGCCTACTCTTAACAATGTTTCGAAAGAAGTCAAAAAGGAAAATTCTCATCAGCCTAAAAGAGGAATAATATCTTTAAATATAAATCATACAAGCAGTCCTTATGGGCTTTGTCCACTGCAACCTATCAAAAAGGATAAGTACCTAAGTCTAGAGCCCTATTGGCCATCTCACAGGGCATTACAAGAGAGAGAGATCAGATCAGGTAACAACCGTTACTATGTTAATGAGCACGAGTTTAAGGAATGGGTGAGAGACTAAACAATTTCTTGGATCCTAATACTGGAAAAATTGAAAGGATTTAGAGCTCGTGCCCTGATAGAAAGTGGAACGCAACAATTCAAGTAAGATATAGAAATCCAAGCCATGTGCAAAGTATGGTAAGCCGCCAACGAGCAATCCAACATAAACTTTGATGGAATTTGAGGAATATTATGGTAAGCCACGAGCAACATGACTCCTTGATGTAAGCTCATCAAGAAGTCCAGAATTGGCACGAGTTTGAGGATTAGTAAGAGATTGCCAAGGAAGAGACCTTGTAAGGTATGTGAGAATTTTCCACTTTACCATGGTGAACTCAAAAACTCATCAAACATGCAATCGCATATGATGGATTTTAATATTTTGGATGAAAAAGAAAGGGAGTAGCAGTTGACAAGCCTATTGTTAGGGCTTGCCAAAGGCTTCACTGGGTTAAGGGGTATTTGTACAGGTAAGTCATGGGCATATATAAAAGCAGCAATCCATGTATCTTTCCTAATCTTAACAAGAACATTGGCATGCATAGTTTGTTTATATATTACTTATTTGTTTGGATTAAAACAAAATTGTCAAGAACTCTGACAATCACCTATGCAAGCACCTAGGATTACGAGGGAGGTGGAGTAGATGATGACCCAATAACTTGAATTACATCAATGACTAACTTCCCCAATGTGCACAACGAGCCTTAACTGCAACCACACATGTTAGCTAACACAAAAAAAAAACACAAGAAGATTATTTGCAGGATAAGATCCAAGAGCTTATGAAGCAAAGTTGAGCATAATGTTGACACATTTAGCTTCCAATGCAATTCACTTTGGGGTTAAATATCAGTTTTGGGTGATCCAATGCTCAGTTGAAGGTCTCATAAAACATCTACAACTGCTATTTCTATGGTCTTTCCACATTTAGGATTGGTTATTGTATTCTCTTCGCATTTGCATTTGCATTTGCATTTGCTTTTGCAGTTAGGAGTTGGATTCCCCATATTACTCCCTAAATTTATTAGGTTTCCTTAAATTTGGTTTCCTTTTTATAAGAGAAGCTTGGTCAAGTTATCGGTTTGCTTAACCTGCAAAAGGAAAGGATTACAAGTTGAGAATTACTATAAATACATGTAAGAGGCCTATGGCTGGAAATTGTTTTCTAGAGAGCTTTAATGGTACCGATTCTATCTTCTTTGCGTTGTCAATTCCAGAGGCCACATGAGATTCTATGAAACCCGGGTACTTTTTTCTTTTCTTTTTTATAATGTTAACATTGTATTACTATATAAAAAGAAAGGAATACAACAGATAGAGGGAGGAGAGGACCGAGAATACCCACGAGCGAGGTATCTCAGTCAAAATATTTAAGCCATAAACCCTATACAACCTATATCCTTTTGAAGTGGCTGTAACCAAAAGACTGAGGTCACAAAAAATTGGGCTTATAAGCACACCCTGTTACAAAAAACAAGAACCAAAAAATCTAGGTGTCCTAGAAGACCTCGAGGGTCCAGTGCAAAAAAGGACGTGGACCATTCATTGTCTTCCATGTGTGGTCGCATCGCACACCATCTTTAGCGAGGAGGTCGGCGAACTAGTTCGACGTCCGCCAAGTATGCGTCCAACCGACATTGGTATCCCTGCATAAGTGGTAAATTTCATCAAAAATTCTAGAAAGGTATCAAGGAGGGGTAGTGGTGCCTGCTGCCCATGATAGAATGTTTTTTGCGTCTCCTTCCACCACAAAAGATTGGCCCCAAGATGGATTAAAAAATTTCAGGCCCATTAAGAGTGCCAATGCTTCGGCAACTTGTGAATCTCCATGTCTGACATATTTTGAGTATGTCATGAGAACATTTCGATTGTGGTCACGGAAAACACCCCCTACTCCTGAAGGGCCCGGGTTACC